TTTCAAATCCCAGTGTGATGGCTGGGGTCTTTGTCTATGTGAAACAATGTCCAAGTTTTGTCTGTCTTCTGGGTGTCTTTGATCTCAGCATCAGAACAATATAGAAGCAAAGCATGAGGAGCTGAGGGTCACTAAGTGTGTCTTGTGGGAGGTGTTTGTCTCTCTAGCATCAATGACTGTTTCCCAACAGATCTGTCCTGTTTGTGGGCAGTCCCTGGCACCTATTCTCTTGATAAATGAAGATGGTTAGAGGAAAGCCATAAAGGATGAGGGGAAAATGCGTGTGCACACTGCATCATAGAATGGTATCCATACTGGCAAACTGGCTAATGTTATTTTTCCAGTGATTTTGTTCTAGGAAATAAGCTAGATATATACATTTATTTACCTTACTATAACCTTTTAAGCTAGATTCTTATTTGTTGACCTACTTTAACCTTATAACAACCCATTGATGTCAGGACTCTTGCTATTATCACTGATTATATCATTAAATAGCCCAAGAGCTTTTAAGGCATATCTCCAAAGGAAAGATAAATAGATGTCCAATGAGTGTCCACAGCCATAAAAGAAAAGCACCCTGGTCACTTCAAGGTTATCATGTGAAAGGGCTTCCTAGACCATGATGTAAACCCCCAAAGGTAGGCACTCACTGGTGGTAATGAACGCAGAAGGAAGTGGGAGATGTAGGTACTGGCATCCAACAATAATCCTGGTTTGTTTGAATATTACCATTAAATAGTTCTGGCAAGAAGCATGTCATACGATTGTCTCATCATTTCCACATTATTGCTTCTGAAAAAGTATAACAACACATTTCTCTGGAACAGTGGGAAGACACAGCTCCTTGGCCTTCCCTGGCCAGACTCAAATGTCGAAGAGGGCAGGGAAGGATTGACACTCTGGGGATTTGTTTTTTTAATTATTATTTGTTATTATGTCTTGTTTCTTCTTAATGAAAACAAGTCCTTTCACTCCTCTTTTTAGATTTTTGGGCACCAAGTTGTATGCCTCAGTCAGGCTTTGGCCTGAATTCACAGCTGTGTATTTGTCATTTTTTTTTTTTATTAAAACATGAAAGAACTTTTCTAAACTGAATCATGAAATGATGTCTTTCCTCTCATCCATGTACGTGTGTGTGTGTGTTTGTGTGTGTGTGTGTGCGTGTGTGGTTCAAACCTACTCCCCTAATGTGTGAGTAGTGTTGTTTTAGCTGGAATAAAGAAGAATTGTTGGGGAGATCTGATCACAGAAGAGTGGATGGGAAAATATCACTGGTGGACAGGGAGTGAGGACTAATAAGAGGGAGTTGGTATCACTGAAAAATCTGTAGAAGACATGATTGTAGCAAGTGTGATTGTTCCCCCAAGCTACCAAGAAATGGGAATCTTGGGACATAAAATAGGAAATTAAGATGGGCACAGTCCATGATCACACAATTCTGTACACAATACTTTCTAATCATTTTACAAATCCCTGCGTGTTAGTTCTTCTAGGCATGGAAGTAAAAGTAGAGAAATCTTAATAAGACATTAGAGCCTCTCATTTAGGAGACCCAGAGCAGAACTGCAGAGCCAAAATTACAGAGTTAGACTCCAAGTTTCCATAGCCCCAGTGCCTGTAAGACGTGGTACACTGGCAGGGGAGTTATTTAGGGAGTCTCCGATCTTGGACTTTTCTCTCAATATGTTTTGGTCTGCACAGCACTTTTCCTTATACCAGAACAGTATATAATTCTGCATTTCCAACATTTCTATATTTGCTATATTTTGTGCAACATACCAAGTGTCATAATGTAATGACTAAGTTCATTGATTTAGATGATAGTAAAAACACGTAGATGATATTTAGCAGATGTTTCTTAAATTAAAAAATCACTGTAAATATGGGTTAAAATTCTAATGTTTTTTAAATTAAAATTTACATACTGTCTGGTTAACTCTATATTCTTCTGTTTGAGGCATGCAGTAAAAGAAATTTTGGCCAAATAACCAGGATGTGGAAGGGGTTTTCTAGGAGTGCTAAAGACTTCCCTTTTTATGCTTTTCCCAAATTTATATATATAGGATGGCTCACTGAAAGCTGAATGTTTATTGCAGAATTTTCTCAGACAAAGGATATCTCCCTTGGAATTGAGACAGAGGCTTCTAGAAGTTGTCTGAAATCATACTATTTTGAGGATCATACTTGCATTCTCCTGAAGGGTCCAAAAGGTCACACTACTGGCTATCCCTTCTTTCTTGATACATGTTGTTTTTCCTATGCCTTGTCCTTAGAATCTTCTTAATGTTCATCTATACTTATTTTGTCAATAGCGGGAGGAAATCACAAAAAGACTTGAGCTGGCCTATGCATAAAGTGAGGGAACATTTACTGTTTGCTCATAGACACATGGGTAGAAAATAACTATTGGTTAGGATTTTCCTTTATTTTTGGTAGCATTCTCGGAAGTTTCTCTAAGAAATATTGTATTCTAAAAATGTCAAAAAGGATCTGTGTTCAAATATGTACAACCAGCAAAGGGTTATACAAAATTTCTGTGGCCTTTATTGAAATAATTCTTACAGACATCATGAATTTTCAGGAAATTATGGCATGCTGCAGTTTTCTCCAGTAGATTTAAGCATTTTGCCACTTTGTTCCTCCAGAATATCAGCCAGGATCAGAATTTATGAATTTAGGCAAAACTGATCAATGTGGATATTTGAACCTTGCAGATGAACTGCATAGCCTTTTAAAGTCTTACTTCCAGCATATTCATTTTTGTAATTCAAAACTTATTTAGAAAAGAATGTAAGCTAAGGAAACTGCAGAAAGACACTAAATGTGAAAAGAGGGAAGAGATTTGATACAGGAAGGAGGATGAGGAAGAAAGCACTTGACAGGCAACGGGGAGAAAACAGAAAACTGCCTTCTTAAATTATCTTCATGGAAGTCAATATTGATATTCTTGCTAGAGAACTGAATGCGTAATTGTATGTGCACCTGGATGATTTCTGTACTTGTGTATGTTGACATGAAATGGTAGCCATCTTGGGAAGTGGGAATATTGCATTTCACTGTTTTTTTTTCAGCAATAGATGTTACTGATTTCAAGACCTGATTTCAAGGTACATTAATCTTGATCGTGGTATGATACATTATCAGCTATGTACAAGTGAAAGAGAATTGTTGCTGAAATTGTTCTTCTGGAGGGCCAGACAGCCTTTGGACACTGTAATAGAGAGAAGACTCCATTGTTGTGAATGAATCCAACCTTGGAAACTAGTATTAGACTGGGTCACAAAGACAGGGTCAGCCAGGGAATACAGCCAAGGGTAACTGAGCTTAAGAGGATTAATCTAGGCCTCTTGACATTCTTGTCTCAGGCTCCAGAGATGAGACTCAGCCTGACCCTGACAATTTTGAGGACTAAAGAAATATAGCCCGGTCAAGTGGTTCAATTACGGAATGAAGAGGGAAACAAGGAATGGATATTTTTTATGCTGATCCTAGGGATTGAATTCAGGGCCTGGGTTCTGTCCCTGACCTTATTTGCTCAGGGCTAGCACTCTGCCATTTGCACCACAGCTCCACTTCAAGCTTTGTAGTAGTTAAGTAGGGATAAAGGTCTCTTGGATTTTCCTGCACAGGCTGGCTTTGAACTCTAATCTTCAGATCTCATCTTCCTGAGTAGATAGGATTTTAAGCATGAGCCACAGTCATCCTGTGGGAGTGGAATTTTACTAAGCCAGAGAGATAGATGTTTGGACTTTTGCCCTTTCTTTTTCAAGAAAACAAACCAGCTGGTACTGGTAGTTCACACGTGCAATCCTTCCTACTCAGGAGGCTGAGACTCAGAGAATGAGGTCTCAAAGACAGCTTTGTCAGAAAAATGTGTGAAACTGTCCCCCATATGGCTAGCAAAAACCCAGGCTGAAGGTGTGGCTCAAGTGGTAGAAAGTCAACTGGGCAAACAGGAGGCCTTGAGTTCAAACCTCAAGGCCAAGAACCAGCTAAGAACAAAACAAAAACCAATGCTAGTGTTTTAGCCTCCATTTTCTAGACAACAATACTGAGTTGTAGGAAATCTGACAGCCATCTAGTCCTTGTAGCTGGTATATGGAGGGGCCAGGTAGCAAACTTATATTTTGACAGCTCCTAATCCTTTCTACTCTCACCTAGAACAACAGCCCTTTACCTAGTAAGTTGGTTTTTCTGTTGTTATTTTATTTAAATACGATGTGTAAAGCACATCCTCAAAAGTTTTTGATTTAATTTATCAGGGATAGCCTGATAGGCTTTATTTTTTAAACTCCTTTGGATGATTTTTTTCCATTTGAAAATATAATCATTGCTGGAGGTGTGGCTCAGGGGTCAAGTCCTTGCCAAGCAAGCACTGAATTCAAATCCCAGGACTTAGAAAACACTTTAAAAAACACAAAAATATCATCCAAAACCTTATTTCCATGAACTATTATTAACTACTGTTAATGCCTGAATAGAACCAAGGCATTGAAAGTAAGAGTTCACAAAAAATACAGAGAAAGTGACTTTATAATATGATTTCAAAACTAAGCAGAATAGTCTTATTTAATGAGATATAGGGTAACATCAACTTTTCAAAAGCAGTCATTTAATAAAAATGGAAGTCTAAGAGATCTTATTTAAACAATGCTATTCAGGATGTTCTATAGCATGGGTGATTTTAATAGTAGAAAATGAATCCTGAGCTTAAGTCACCATGATACACGCTCATATTGCTCTGTCCATACACGTAACCCTATAGACATATCTAGACCCACACGCACCCATGGAAGGAGTGAAAGGAATGTTTATTGGTTAGTTCTGAGTGTCTTTGTGGCAGGAGGGAAGTATAATGACTATGCCAATAAAAGTCATAAAATGTCTCCTTAAAGTCTGAAATATAATATTTGAAGTTTATCAGAACAGATAGCTCAGAACAGAATGACTGATATGCATTGAATGCTCAGAGATGTTTTCTAAACTTTCCATTGTAGGTGGTATTGTCCTCAATCCCACATACTATGGCATGCCTGGCCACACCGACATCATGATCCATGAAATAGGACATGTCCTGGGACTCTACCATGTCTTCAAGGGGGTCAGTGAAAGAGAATCCTGTGATGACCCTTGCATGGAGACAGTGCCATCCATGGAAACAGGGGACCTCTGTGCCGACACGGTCCCCACTCCCAAGAGTAAGCTGTGCAGGGACCCAGACCCGGGCAATGACACCTGTGGCCTTGGCCACTTCCCAGGAGCTCCCTTCAACAACTACATGAGCTACACAGGTATGATTTGATTTCCCCTAAAGATCACCTCTACTCTGGAGACTCTCATAATGGAGGTGTGGGAGCTAGAGAGATTACTGAGCAGTCATTAGTGTCAAAGAATTGAAGTATATTTATTATGAAATGTTCTCTTCCCCCTCACTCCCTCCCTGCCAAACTATGTTGGACTTGAGGATTACTGAAATATTAGAAACCCTGTTGAATGAATTTTTTCCCACTAGCTTTAAACATAAAGGTACTTCTCTTTCTTGAATTATAAAAAGAGGACAAAGCCAAAAAGCCCTCCTGAGCTCTAGTCAACTTAGAGAATTTAGGGATTCTTGCTATTGTTCATTTTTGGAAACATTCACTCTGAAGGAGAGTCCAATGTGTGAAAGAGGTTTTAGGTTCAAGGTAGTTCTTTATGGTATTTTTTTTTTACAGATGAATAACATGAGGACCTGGTTAATTGAAGCTCAGGATGCATTTTCTACTATTAAAAATTCTACTATTAAAATCTGAATTTTTTTTACAGTAGCTGTACACTGATTCTTGGCTTGCACTCCACATACCCTGCTCAAAATGGTACTCTTTAGAAAATGGTGTCCTGAGAGTCACTGCACTGTTTGCTCTTGTCTTTCCTCGATGTAAACTCTGTATTATCCTTCTTGCCTATAGCTTCTATCTTCCTTGTTTCTGGAAAATTGTAACACTAACCAGTGTCCTGAGGATAGACTTAAATTGGATCCTAAACTTAAGGTCTAATTTGACTTGATCCATTTAATCCAATGGTTAAAAAAATGGTTTTACAGTTCCAAATACTCCTTCTAGAGCTAACCCCCAAAGGACAATGCACGGTAATGACTTTTAGGGAAGAAAGAGTTGGTCCTGCCTGTGACCTATTAAGATATTTTTCTCCATTCAAGTTTCATTGAGGTGAATAATTGTGTAATAAATTTGTAAGCACCAACACCTGCTCCTTCTCTAGTCACAACACGGTGGCCTTTGCCAGGGGCAGAGTTCAGATGAGGAGCAGAGGTAGGAACTCCTGACGTGTCACCTTTAAGGTTTACAGAGGAATCATATAAGAGAAAAGAAGAGGTAATATTTGACTAGCATGTTTTCAGTGGAAACATCCCCAATTCTGAGATAACTGATTTGGGGCTGAGGGCATAGTTCATGTAGCACGGTGCTTCCTCGCCTAGCATATATGCATCCCAGTACCCCATCAGAAAACAAAGCAAACCAAAACGACAACAACAAATCCTCTCTCAACACTATGAGCACATGGATGGAAAATAGGGGGACTTTCTGGTTCCAAAAGTTAGACTGTTTCCTTGACATTTGGCTTTCTCCCCCTTGAGACTCTCCACTGAATTTTCACTAGTCTTGGCCGGCATCACAGGGCAATAAAGCAAAGCAGGTGTCTGCGACTTGAAGCATGAAAGGCCCTCTGCTGAAACAGTGCCATCTTGTGGTTTACCGAATAAGCAACTGTTAACTGCAACCCTGTACGTAACTCCAGGGTGCCAAGTTCACTCTGGGTCAGCTCCACTATTAAATTAATGGCCTGGCTTTTGAGATAAGCAAGTCTTATGCTTCTGCCTTCTCTTTCCCACTTCTAGTTTAGACACCTTCTGAAACAGAATGTACTTACTCTTTCAACAAGTGTTTATTGAGACTAGTGCATGCCAAGGTATTGGTAACAATTGGTATCAATGACCTTGGTGGGCTTTCACAAGTACAATCACTCCATGTCTTATGCTTTCTTATTTTGCCTCCACAGATGATGACTGTACTGACAGCTTCACCCCCAACCAAGTGGCCCGCATGCACTGCTATTTGGACCTCGTATACCAGCAATGGAGTCAAAGCAGAAAGCCCACCCCCATTCCCATCCCACCCATGGTCATTGGGCAGACCCAGAAGTCCCTCACGATCCATTGGCTGCCTCCTATTGGTGGAGTTATATATGACAGGTGAGACAGGTCTTGCAGTGGGTGAGCTGATGTATTTTCCTTGCAGAATTTTATAGGAGAGGAAGAATGAGACGCTTGGGGACCCCTCTTTGCAATTGGGAATGGGTCCAGCACTGCTCAGGGCTGCCTCCTCCAGCCAGCTCTGGGCTCAGCTCCTCAGCCCAGTTCATGGGCCACTTTTGTGAGACAGTAGTTCAGCACAGTGTTCACTTCTCAGCCAGGGGTCTGGAGAGGATGGTCAGTATAATAAAGATGGCCTGTAAGAAGTGAGGTGGCATTTGCCACCTGTCTCAGTCCATCTGTTCTTCTGTGGTATGATGATAGAACAGAGGCTTGCTGCTTCAATGGTGCAGTTCAGGGGACGGGAACTAAGTAAGGCAAATTCCTCCAGGCAGTTCTGCAGGTAGATGGGAGTGTACAAATCGCCATGACTGTCTTCCATCTCTCTCTCCTGCCTTGGTGTGCCTTTATGGCCACTCTCTCCGGGAATTTTCACTATCTGTTCCTTTTCCTATCTGCCTCTCTCATCTGGCCTTTGGGGGTGGAAGTGGAACTACATTTTGTATCTTTTGCCTCTTGATCTGCCACAATGGACACTTCATAAGGCTTATCAAAGAAAAGCATGATAAATAAAGCTAGCTTTCACTCAATTGTCCTTCGCATAACAAATGCCAGGGATTTTTTTTGTAAGTACTAAAGGAAGCTGGGAGAAAGAACAATAATTAACAGGGTTATTGGGCTTTAGGTTTAATTGGAAAAGATGAGAATCCCATCGGTGACTTCTGCTGACTGGCCTTGATAGGCAGAAAACCTCATGCTAGATATTTTGTTGCACTTATTTTAGGCAGTTCTTGCAGTAAGCAGAACTCAAAGCCATAGAAGTGAGAAATCTGAGGCAGAGAAACAAATACAGCTGGTCTAAGACCCCGCACTAAGTGGAAATGATTTGAGGAAAGTCACTGGAAATTCAGAAAAGAGGAAGAGGAATTATTTCTTTGAATTTAGTGCTGTCGCATTAAGGAGGTGGATAGCTCCTCTTTCTTGTTCCATGTCTCCTTTCTGGGTGTCAAGGCCCATCTAAGTAGCTAGGTGTCCCCAAACTATGTCATTGTGCCCTTGGGTTTTAATAAAAACTTCCAAGAGAGAATACAGAGAGAGGTGGTTATTATAACACCAATAAATCCTTCTCCAAAGTGGTATTCACAAACTCTCGTGATCTTCATGGTTGTTCTTGATTCTTTGACCCATACTTAGTAATGACATCACTTTAGACCTCACAGGTCTACAATACAGTTTGCATTGTCAACAGGACCAGGGGCTCTCAGAGGCTTGCTTTGGTAACTCAGCACACATCTATGCGATGTGTATAAGGATCATCTTCCTGCAAGTGTGACCTTCTGCCACTCTGGTCACACTGGCTGAACAGTAAGTCCTCTGTGGGTATGTGCAAACTGGAGTTTTACATCAGTTTATGTAACACATGTAAACAATTTAATCTTTCAATTCTCTCTCTGGTACAAATGTTACGATAAAGCAGACATCAGAACTGGCTCAGTCAGGAGTCTGTTGGCAGAAAAGACTGCAATTTGCTTCCTCTTCTCGGCGAGGTGGGCTAGCTTGGAGACCTCTTCACACGTGTGTTGGGCGGACTCGCGTCACATACTCAACGATTTGTGTCATGTCTGGAGTTCTGTTTACTCCACCCCAGTAGGTATTTGGAATCCTATGTCAGAGAGGAGTCCTAGCTACGCACTCAGCAGCGGCCCCGGAAGGGCCAAGTACATCAGGGAAATGTGGTTTGGAGCGGTGTCCTCAGTAGACGTGAGTGTGGACTGGAGTCAGTGGGTGGTTTTTAACTACTGCTTTTATTTGCCAAAGTACAGGACAGTATCAAGTTGGTGAAGTTGCTCACAGGAATGAATAAACCCGTATCTTTGGGAAATTTAATTAACCTCTCTGAGCCTGAATGTGTTCATTTGTAAGAATAAGTAGAGATAGTATAGGGATGAGAAATAATGTGTGAAAAACACATGTAGCCCAAGGCTGGGTAGGTGAGATGTTTAATAAGTAGGAGCTGATGTTTTCATTACTACCTCTACCTAACAGTACTGTTTTACTAGCATTGTACAGGATGGCAATATGCTGTTAATACGTGCTATTGATACATTGCTTGATGAACCTCTCTGAGTTGATGCCTGTATTTTAGATACATTTTTGTTCACAGTTAGACTTCTACAAGAGATTTCTAGTATGATGAGACTCACAAAGTGCAAGTCTCTTGTTATCTGACTAGTATTCTTTATTATTCTGGTTATCCCCACATATGGTACCTGTGGAGCACTTCATACACTGTGCTGATCCTTTCATAGCCATCTCCGGGAGGGGCTGTGGAAGCCATTCCCTGTGCTAAGTGCTGGGGACAGAGGGACGATAGTATTGGTCTGATGCAGCTCACAGGCAAAGGAGAGTATTGGAATATCTAAATTTCTTTTTTTTTAGTTTAATTTTATTTTATTTGTGAACATACTGTACAGAGGGGTTACAATTACATGGGCAGGATAATGCGTACATTTCTTACCAAGCATTGCAGCCTCCTCCTTTGTTTACCCTTCTCATCCCTTCCCAGCCTCCCCCCTCCCCCCCTCCCCCCCCCATCCCAATCCTTCTCCTCCCCCTCCCCCCCTGCACCTACGTTGTAAAGCTCGTTTTGGACATGACAACTTGTACTTCTCATTGTTGCAACAGGTCCACCTGTATCCTTAAACGACTTGTTTTTCCCCATTTCCTCCACAAGTTATACTGACATCAAATATAGTGGAAGCAGGGGTTATACTGTGGAGGAGGGACATACAAAGCAACAAAGAGATAATCTTATAAATGCGTTAGAAACACATGCATGAAAGAAAAAAACATTAAAATACATATCTGAGTTCATTTTCCTAACTTCACATTATCTGACCTTTTCCGCTTGACTCCTACATATACTAGATATTGCAAATAAGGGAAACCATGGGGCCTATGTTTCTTTGGGCCTGGCTTACTTCACTTAATATAATTTTTTATAATTATAAGTTTTTATAATTATAATTTTTAATAATATAAGTTTTTCCATTTCCTAACAAATGAGGCAATGTCATTCTTTCTGATAGAGGCATAGAATTCCATTGTGTATATATACCACATTTTCTTGATCCATTCATCTACTGAGGGGCATCTGGGATGGTTCCATATCTTAGCTATGGTAAATAATGCTGCAATAAACATAGTTGTGCTGGTAGTTTTAGTGTGGTCTTGTTTGTAAACATTTGGGTAAATGCCCAAAAGTGGGATTGCTGGGTCATAGGGGAGCTCTATGTGAAGTCTTTTGAGGAACCTCCATACTGCTTTCCAAAGTGGTTGAACAAGTTTACATTCCCACCAACAATGCAGTAAGGTTCCCTTCTGTCCACATCCCCTCCAGCATCTGTTGTTGTTAGAGTTCTTGATTTTTGCCATTCTAACTGGAGTGAGGTGGTATCTCAATGTTGTTTTGATTTGCATTTCTTTTATGGCTAGGGATGTTGAGCATTTCTTCATGTGTCTATTGGCCATCCTTCTTTCTTCTTCAGAGAAGTTTCTCTTTAAGTCTTTCACCCACTTATTTATTGGGCAGTTGTTTCTTTGAAGATTTGTTGTTGGGGGATTTAATTTTTTGAGTTCCAAGTATATTTTAGATGTGAGACCCTTTTCCGTTGTATGGCTAGTAAAGATCTTCTCCCAATCCGTGGGCTTTCTATTGATCTTGCTAGCTATGTCTTTTGCCATGCAGAAGCTCTGCAACTTTATGCAATCCCATTTGTCCAATCTTTCTTTGATTTGTTGTGTTTCCGAGTCTCTATTCAGAAAATTTCGGCCTGAGCCAAGGAGACCTAGGGTTTCTCCTATTCCATCCTGTAATGTTTTCAGAGTGTCTGCTTTGTCTTCGAGGTCTTTGATCCATTTGGAGTTGATTCTTGTGCAGGGTGATATATAAGGATCTAGCTTTAGTTTTCTACAAGTAGTTAACCAATTTTGCCAGCACCATTTACTGAAGAGGCTGTCTTTGTTCCATTCTATTGTTTTAGCTCCCTTTTCGAAGATTAGATGGCTATAGGTCTGTAGGTTCATTTCTGGGTTTTCAATTCTATTCCATTGGTCCTGAGGTCTGTTCTTATGCCAATACCAAGCTGTTTTGATTACTATGGGTTTATAGTAGAGTTTGAAATTTGGTATTGATATTCCTCCAGCAGTGTTCTTTCCATTGAGGAGTGTTTTTGCTATTCGGGGTCTTTTATTGTTCCATATGAATTTTTGGATTGCCTCTTCTATTTCCTTGAAGAATGAGGTTGGAATTTTGATAGGTATCACGTTGAATTTGTAGATAGCCTTGGGAAGTATTGCCATTTTCACGATATTAATCTTTCCAGTCCAGGAGCATGGGAGGTTTTGCCATTTTTTAAGTTCTGTGTTGATTTCCTTTTTCAAGATTTTAAAGTTTTCATCATAGAGGTCCTTCACTTCTTTGGTTAAGTTAATTCCTAGGTATTTTATTTTTTGTGGGGCTATTACAAATGGAGTTGCTTTCCTAATTTCAGCCACACTTTTCTCATTGTTGGCATACAGAAAAGCCATTGATTTTTGGGGGTTAATTTTATACCCTGCTACTTTGCCAAAGTTTTGAATCAGCTTGAGTAATTTGGGAGTGGAATCCATGAGATTCTTTAAGTACAAGATCATGTCGTCTGCAAAGAGGGAGAGTTTTATTTCTTCTTTCCCTATTTGGATCCCCTTTATGTCTGCATCTTGTCTTATTGCTGTAGCTAGGCTGGAATATCTAAATTTCTAACACCACATACAAATGTCCAAAGGGAAGAGATAGTAGGAGTGGTGGGAGCACAGAAGAATGGGTCCTAATTCTAAGAAGAGGAAGGCAAACACACTGTCAGGAGCATAGAGCGTAGAGGTAAGTATTTAAGAAACTGAGAAGCTTAAAACGGTCACTTGAAGGCCAGAAACAGCACAGCATGTCTCGTCGAGCTGTGCACAGGGCGTGATGTAGGCATGACTTGGTGATATGTTCATTGGGGTTTTTATATTGCTGTCTATTTCATGAAGGTGAGATCTACTCAATTAGGACATCAGCTGAGAGATGATGCTGTCTCCTTTGGCTCTCTAGGGCTTCCTATGCAGTACCATCCTTCCTTATCCTAGCTCTTCTGAGGGCCACTGCTCATCTTCGTCTTTTCCTCTTCTCAGGACCCCGGGCAGCATGTGCGATGCTTGCACTGAAGATGGGACGTTCCGTCAGTATGTCTACAAGGCATCCTCGCAGAGAGTGTGTGACTCTTCAGGTTACTGGACCCCAGAGGAGGCTGTTGGTAAAGTACCATGACTTTTTTGATTCATATGTTATTGACCACTGAGATTGAGGATGAAGGGAAAGGGTGAAGGTTAGCATGGGGAGGAACAGACAATGCATATGTGTTGCTGCCTATATACCCGGCCTTGGAAAGACTTCTTGAGGCAGATGTGTGTGGCAGCTGTCCCATCGCTGCTCAATGTGGATATTCAGTGGCTGTGAAGATGCAGAGGTCAGCACATAACACAGATGGAAAAAGAAGTCAGCCAAAACTTAGGGGTAGCTTTGATGCCTACTTGTCCCTGGCTGAGCCTTGGCATACGATAGAGTAAGCTGATCTCCTACTCTCCTCGATCAGGAGGATAATACAGAACAGATTTCAGGGAACACTCATTCACTGGCTTGGCGAATCTGGGTGGGGGTAGGGTGGACTAGGTGTTCCACACGGGCTGTTCTCGTCTATGCTATTTTATGAGTCTATTAATGCCGGTACTACTTGTGCTTTGGATGTGATCTAAGCTAGGCTCTTGGAGGGGGAAGATGTTTTTGTTATCTTTTTTCCTGTCCCTCCCTCGACTTCTCAGGCACATACTCACATACTTATATCAGGAACGGGGGAGAAAATTTCAGCATGAATCTTTTCCCAGTTCCAATCCAGAAAGTGTTATTGACATGACTTTTAGCACCTTGTGATGAATGGTTTGATTTCTTCCCTCATCATCCTCTTCAGTGTTTCCTAATCATCATCTGTTAGCTTTGCTTTCCCCTCCCTGCCCCTGCTTATGTTTGTTAAGTTCCAAAAACTTACTCAGAAATATGTGTTGGATTCAGTCTTTCTGAATTAACTTGTAGCTTGGCCATGAAAATCAAAAGGAAGACAGTGGCCTAAGAGTGCATAGTACCTGAGCAATACCATCTGGGGCTTCCAGGAATTCCAGTGGCAGAGTTAAAGGGAGACCATTCCATGACTGACTGTATATGATCATTTAAATAAAGCTTTTCAGGGAATAAAGAAAAGTGGATATAACATTTATGGAACTTCAAGATTGGCACTACAAAAAATCCATTTTCTGTGGTAAACAGTTGGTTCAGTGCTGTTTGCCTTCCTGATCCGAAGCTTTTCTTAATGCTTATTTTTTTCTAAATAACATTCTTATGAGAATTCAGAGTTATCTAGTGGTGGAAGTGAATGGAATTAGAAATTCTGTATTCTAATTCTTGCATCTTTAGGCAAACGAAGTCATCTTTGAAATCACCTACTTAATGCTTCACAAGAGCTTCTAATAAAAACTTTCTGACAGTGCTGTAGGGTGACTGAAAAGGACCTTTAATTAGCTAGTATTCTGGAGTAAGCACTGGAAAACTGCTAAAAATCAAACAAACTAGTGTTCCTTTGCAAAAGGGAGAAAGATCTATCTATCTATTCTCTCTGTCTCTCTTTCTCTCTCTGTTCTTCTAAGGTGGAGATTAAATATTAGTACTTATTTCTAAGTAGGAAAATCAATACAGGCTTGCTATAGCCATACAAAGTCTGGCCCAGGGCCAATCAAAAGCTGACCCTACTGATCTCCAATACACTACTGTCTCTTCAATTTCCTTCATGTGATATTAAAAAAAAACTTGTATGGATTATTTTCACAGAGCTGACCTTAATATGTTTGTGATACTTGTTTTTTCACCATTGCACTTTTATTTGGCTACTAATACACCGTTTTTTTTTCTTATGCAATCATGCAGGCTTCTATTTCCTGCCTACCTTTTCCTCCCTGGGGTTACTTACCTGTTGATACATGCCCAAATTCTATAGCATATGGTTTTCATATTTGGCTAATCATCAAGGAGCTGAGGTACCCACATAAGATTTTAGAGAAAAGGGAGGATTTTTGTGAATAATACCACCAAGACAAATGGAAATTCACACTGGTCTTCAGGAACAGGAACAAAAATTTTTCATAAATGCATAATAAACTAAGTGTAGATATATATATATATTTTTTTTTCTGTGCTTATGGGTTCTTTAAGAATCCTTTCTGATTGTCCCATTCCCAATTTCCTGCTAGATCCCCTTGGTAAAAATAGAAGAATAACAAGAGCATCATATGGTTTAGCTTTACATCTTGATCCTTAGTAATAGGTAAGATATCAGCCACTAAGCCACACGACTTTCTCAGGAGCTCCAGATCCTTTCCTGCTTTCTCATTCTGGCTGCTAATGTAAGCTAGTCATTTTCAGACCCTTAGTGGTAATTGTGGATGTGTCTTTCTGCTGGTCTCCCCCAGGGCCTCCCGATGTGCATCAGCCTTGTGAGCCGAGCTTACAGGCCTGGAGTCCTGAGCTTCACCTGTACAACACGAACATGACGGTGCCCTGCCCCCCAGAAGGCTGTAGTTTGGAGCTGCTCTTCCAATACCCCGTGCAAGCTGACACGTTCACCCTGTGGATCACTTACCTCTCCGTGAATTCCTCCGTAGCCCTCTTGGACACAGAGATCTTGCTGGAAAACCAGGAGTCTGTGCACCTGGGCCCGTATCACACTTTCTGTGACACGCCGCTCACCATCAAATTGCCCACGGAAGGGAAAGTCTTGGGAGTGAAAGTGTACACCTTGGATGAGCGGATGGAGATTGATGCAGCGCTGCTGACCTCGCTGCCCGGCAGTGCCCTGTGCTCTGGCTGTCAGCCTGTGAGGTACCGGGTTCTGCGAGACCCACCCTTTGCCAGCGGCTCGCCAGTGCTGATGACACATCCTTACAGGACATTCACGGACAGGTGCGTTGTGCTTAGCGGCCTTCTACACCAGGGGCCAGCTTTGTCCCCTCCTCTTCCGTGACTTTCTATTGTTCCGTTACGTCCTTCATTGGAGAACTGTTTGCGATTGGCAGGGAAGCAGACTTTCATTCTAAAGTGGCATATCTAAGATGAGTAAAAATCTTTCCCCTAAAGGAGACAAATAGCTCACTGCCCCTGTCATCGTGATGGTGGGAAAGGGGGAGACATTACTTGTGTGAAAGCTTTCGGTTGGACTCAGTGAAATTGCCACACATAAGTTCTCAGAAGCAGTCTTCAACCTGGCGACAATTTGATTTCTGGTTCCTTGGCTGTGGCTCTCTAACACCCTGCCATGGCTTCTATAACTGAGTTACAGTCACCTCTTTCTTACCCCAGCAGAAAGATGACGTTGCAGAGTGACATTATGCTCTAGTTTCGTGACTCATATATGGTGTATTTTATCCCTCCTCCTTCTTTTCTGATTCTCCTTCCTTTCTCTTTTTCTCCCTTTCTTCCAAGTGTTCATTCTCTTATTTCTATTCTTTGTATGTTTAGTGAGTTAAGACTCAGTGTACTTAAGTGCTGAGGTCAGAAGATATAAGGCCCTGGCCTTATTTAGTGTCTATTTAATGTCTATAATAGGAGGCTGGTATCTCCAGAGAACATCCCTCCTCCTCATACTTTGTTTGCTGCTGTTGTTCTGGTGGTGGTGGGGGGGGGCTTGAACTCAGGATTCAAGCCTGAGCACTGTCCCTGAGCTCTTTCGCTCAAGACTAGTGTTCTACCACTTTGAGCCCCAGGGCTACTTCCCGTTTTCTGCTGGTTAATTGGAGATCAGAGTCTCATGGACTTTCTTGCCCAATTCTCAGATCTCAACCTCCTGTGCCTGGCTTGTAATTTTCTTAAGAGAATGATCCAAGGTCAGAACCAGGAAAAAACCAAGCCTTGGCAAAGGTGTTATATCGTTTAGTTTTTGCTACATTATTTATCATCACAAAATAGAGTGAGTCAAAACAACAAATGTTGTTTCTCACAGTTCTATGGATGGGCTGGGTGTTCTCATCCAGATGGCTTGCCCAGAGCCAGATGGTGGCCCCAACTGACCTCCTGTGTATGTTGAAGGCCTCAGCTTAGGCAGCTAGCATGGGGCCTCTTTGCTCATGGTCTCCATAAGCCTGGCCTGGTCTTCCCTTGGTGGTGGAAAGGTTCTAGCAGCAAAGGGACAAGCCCTACTTCACCTGTGTCTACCAAGTCTGTGCTTCACATTGTTCTTATTATGTTCTTCTTTCCTGGTTGAGTCACTCAGCTAATTCCAGATTCCAGGAGCAACAAAATAAATGTTCCTTTCCATGGGCAACACAGCAGTCAAATCCCAGCAAGCACAGCCTGGTTGGAGTGGTCCTTTGGCAATCTAGCACAACTACAAAAAGTAAAGCAAATTCCTACCTGTGATCTAATATATTTTTCTTCCCCTATTGGCTTTCGTCCTTAGAATGAGAGGGCAATAAAATGATCTTTTTTTTTTCAAATTGGAAGATGGAACACAGGGATAATTTAAATGAAAAACAAAACTAAAAAAGCAAGTCGTGTGCTGGTGTGGCTCACATATGTAATCATAGCTATATCATAACTATCCAGGAGGAGGTTGAGATCTGAAGATCATGGTTCAGGTTCAAAGCCAGATAGGTCAGGAAAGCCTGTAAGACTCTTATCTACAACTAACAAGTGAAAAGCCTGAAGTGGAGTTGTAGTTCAAGCGGTTGAGTGCCAACCTTGGGCATAAAAGCCAGGCAAGTATATGAGACAGTGAGTTCAATCCCCAGTACTGGGAATGAATAAATGAATGGATGGATTAATCAATTAAATAATATGTAACAATACCACTTTTTAGCTTCTCTGGTAAGGCAGTTAATATGGTATTTGTTACCTAATGATATCCTCATTCCTGCACATAAACTTTTAAGGCCAATAATTTCCCAGTTTATAGATAGAAAACAGACACTTTATTTGGTTGCCTAACCTGGTAAATAAATGACAGACTCAGGATTAAAATCCAATTTTCCTACAAAATCTCATTTCCATTCTCTTTGCTCAGTAGCACATTGACTTTTACAAACTCAGAGATTATTGAATGCCTGAGCTAACTGCCATTATGATTCTCCCATCCCAAGAAGAGTAAACACATACTGACATTTCCATCTAATCCTTTCCCAGCCAAAGAACAGTGTAAGACTTTTATGCACGGCTGGACAAGAAGCCCTGGAGAAACTACCTTGTAAAGAGGACCAGGATATAAAATTGGGCTTGCTTTAGAAATATCTGCCACTGTCATGAGAGGGCTGTTCCCTCAAAAAAGAAAACTAATTTGGAAGTTTAAAAGTCTCTTATATTTAGGTAACTTTCCTATTAAAATTTCTTAAAAGCCAGCCTAGAGGTTTATAGAGGTATTTGGGAAACCCCAAGCTATTTCCTGTTTGCTGGGTGTGTTATACCAGGTGAGCAAATGGAGGCTTTGCGGTTGATTTGAAGAGTTTTAGAGAAAAGAACGACTTGGCAAGCTCCATTGTGATTTTGTCCTTTCAAATACCTTTCGTCCTAGCTTAACTTTGGTGGTACTTTTTAAATTAGGGCAAACCTGGGATAAAAGTAAGATGAAGGCAGGGTTTATCTTTGGAACGAGCAGCCTCTCTTGTTGATCCCTCTCCTCCGCTAACTATCTGTCTCTCCTGTCTCCTCTCAATCACTGAATTAGGGCTCTATTGAGTCCAATCCATTTCTTATATCAACCGTTACAACTGCTCACTTCCAGGTTTTCATAGCTACAAAAAACATAGAGGGAAAATAGTTAGTGGGCTTAATTCCTGGAATTATGAAGAAACAAATCGAATGTATTTCTAACTGGGAATATTTTGCCCCTCCCACATATTAATGAAAAGTGTTTCAATCTCCTACAACAAGATACCTGCTCTTACCTTTAAGGATTTAATCTCTTCAAGACAAGAATTCTCCTGAGAGATGAGAAAGCTGGGATCCACAGACTGAGCCCCACTCTGAACCTCAATTCCAATTTCTCTCATTACTTTAAGAAACAGAGCATTGGTTTTTCAGTGGTTGTCTTGTTTTCGCTTAGTTAAAACTCATACAAGTTCCCTAGGTTGTCTAGGACTGTTATATTTAATGTTAACTCACCCTGCACTTATTTCATGTCTGTTGTGTGGAGTGTATGGGGAACACTGGTTTTTACTTCATACAATGCACCATGCTCAACATTTCTGTCCTCCATCACTGTCTTCTAAAACTCCTATGAGCCATTTGCAAAGGCTCCAGTGCAGGCTTCCCTTTGAGGCTGTCATGGTCATTAACCAATTGATTTCCACAGGGAGGTCACGCCTGGGCAGATGTATGAGTACCAAGTCCAAGCTGAAGCTGGAGGAGAACTGGGAGAAGCTTCACCTCCCCTAAACCACATCCATGGAGATCCCTACTGTGGAGATGGGAAGGTCACAGGGTGAGTCTTATGTGTGTGTGTAGGAATGTGTGAGTTAGGCCACTCTGTCTAAGACTCTCAGCCTCCAGTTTGAAGTTGACTTGTTTGGAAACGGAAAGGGTAACCTACGTTACAAATTCTGGGACTTTGCATGATCACCTTAAGAGGTCACTGACATTATCTGTAGTTATGAAAGAATCCACTTCGATTTACAACTCATCCTAGGTTAGCTGGATCTTTGGGGCAACTTTATGGCCTCAATGAATAATTGCCGGGGATGGATACAGGGAAGAAATTTGTACAGAAACTTACTTGTTAACTAATGCTGGAAGAGTATCAGCCAAATGACCTATACTTTAATTAACTGTGTGGATTTATTAACTAAGTGTTTAAATTGAGGAAGTCAGCAGCTCCTTTGGCCCCAGAAAGATTAATTACAATGCAATTTCCAGCTTTTCGGTAAACACTACCAGGATGAAGATAGAATTGCTTCTGGTTATTTCTCAATCATGCCATGCTCCTTTCATTATAGTTGGCCAGGAATTGTTCCCAATGTGTATACTGAATTATCACTAAGACCAGGAAATTCAGGGCAGATGGACACATTATATAAACCTGTCCTTAAGCTCATCTAGCTGTTCATCATCCTAGATACCATCATCTGAGCTGCTTTCCCCATGGTGGATTAAATGACTCTCCCTTAAATTCTTCAACTAAGTCATTCTTATTTTTAATATTTTGTATACTTCGAGTTTACCACTTTATATATATATATATAACATTATTGTATCCACAGCAAACTTTTAACTCATGTAAATAATTTTTCTCATGTATTTATTTAACCATCAATCTGTCTTTATAATAATATTCTGAAGTTCAGTGCATATCCACTGGGGGAAAAATGGTAACCATCATCTATTTTTCAATAGCTAAATTGAGTTGTAACCAAAGTTTATTTTGTTCTTGCAAAATTCTTTCTATTCCTCTCCCTGTAAACTAGCTTACCTACCTTGATCTATATTTACTCACCCACTCAGAATTTGAGGTTCAAAATGACATTTGTTATCCAGCTCTTAGAAAATTCTGCCCTGCAATACATAATAGCTGCCACCAGGTGGTAATAAGGAGTAATGTTAGCGACCTGGACCCTAGAAGGATGCTCAGAACTAAGTTACATTCTAGCTGCTTGTACATCCTAATAGTTATACAAAAAGGAGATACAAGTTTACCAAATTCAATATTATTACCCAAGGAAAAACAATGAATTAAAAGCACAACCGGGTAGGCTACTTTGTTGTTGAGGATTATTTGGATATTTGGTATTTTTGTCATTTTGTATCAACTTTAGATGGTTTCCTTTAGTTCTTTTTTTTGGCGGGGGGGGGGGGGGGGGGGGGGGGGGGGGGGTCCGGTTGTGGGGACCTGAACTCTGGTCTTCAGCTCAAGGCTAGTGCTCTACCACTTGAGCCACAGCGCCACTTCTGGCTTTTTTTCTTTTTGCTTATGTAGTACTGAGGAATCGAACCCAGGGCCTCAGGCATGCAAGGCAAGCGCTCTACCACTGAGCCATCTTCCCAGACCTGGTTTCCTTTAGTTCTGTGAATAGTGTCATTGGTATTTTGATAAGGATCCCATTGGAGCAGCAGATTACGGATTCTTCCAATTGTTGATTCTTCCAACCCATGAACATAGATTCTTTCTATTTTGTGTGGGGATGTGATGTGTATGTCCTCTTTTATGGTTTTCATCAATATTTTACAATTTAATTGTAGAGACTTTTACTTTCCTGGTTAAATTTGTTTCTAGGTATGTTCTGAATTGGTAGCTATTATAAATGAGATTGCTTACTTGATTTCTATTTCAGATAATAGGCTATTAGTAGAGTATAGAAATGCTACTGATTTTGTAACTATTGGGTTATTACTTTTTATTAATACATTTAACCAAGTGAAGAATAAAATCACCCTTCTAAAACTCCACTAATCAGTAAGTTAAAAGGCATTTTTATGCTTCTGACCCTCTACCAGAAATAGTATCAGATCTTTTCTGGGTACTCTGTAAATATTTCAAATCAGGAAGACACTTAAGACACTGCTTAGACTTCCCACCACACACCAGATACAGCCATCGACTAAAATAGGACCTTTTTAAATGTCTGTGTATTTATATATTTGTTTTGTTTACTTGCAGTGCTAGAGATAGAACTCAAAAGTTCCTAGACAGCTACTCTGCCATTGAGCAACAGCCTTAGCCTAGGCTTGATCTTAGCCAAAAAACCAGAAGCAATGAACATCCCCGTCCCAAACGTCTGTGTGTTGGTTTGTTTTCTATAAAGGCATCTCTCTTAGCTCCCACCCTTCCATTATGTACTGCTTAATTAGGAATCTTAACACATTGAAAAATACATAGACAAACCCCCAAAACAACCCTGTTATGTGTGTGTTTGTATGTGTATGTCTAGAAGCCTGGGAGAAGAGTGTGATGGCGGAGACCTGTTGAACGGAGACGGATGCTCAAGGGCATGTAAACTAGAGGAAGGCTTCAACTGTGTAGGTGAGTGTGAGTTCCTGCCTAGAATTATACCTTTTAAAATGGTATAAACATGAGGTACAGAAGGGTTACAGTTTTATCACTAAGGTAATGAGGACATTTCTTTATGAACAGGGTCACCTCTTCATTTTCTCCCACTCACCCCCGACTCCCCTCCCCTCAAGTTGTACAGTTAGTTTCCAACATAGTGTCTAGTGAGCATCACTGTTGCGTGGATTCACCCTTTGTCCCACCATTTCTGTGATTACCCTTCCTTTCCCCAAATCAGATATATATACAAGATGAGGGGTACAGAAATCCAAAACAGTGACAAAAGGGAATACATCAAAAGAGAAAAAGAAAGAAAGAAAAGAAAGAAAGAAAGAAAGAAAGAGAGGGGGGAAGAAAAGAAAGGAGAAATGACTGCAAACAGAATACTAAAATATACCTCTTGTTTCCATTTCTTGGAGTTCAGTTCATAAGGATCATTTTATATGGTCATATGTATATAGCTATTGAACTATTGTGGGCCTCTACTAAGAATATCCATGTTCTAGTTATTACAAATGAGGGAAACCATGAAGCCAGTGTTTCTTTGTTCTGGCTTGCTTTGCTTAAAATAATTTTTCAAAGTCTTTCCATTTACCTTAATTGTAGATGTCTCAGTGTATTATTTTGTGAGTTCTCGATATACTAGAACATACAGCTTAATGAACATGATGATAACATTTGATGTATCCCAATCACTATCTCACATAGATCAACCCATTTAACACTTACCTAGTGAAGAGTGAACTAAACCGAAGTAGGAAAGGATTGTAGCGTTTATATTTGCTTATTTAGGTGGAGGCGTTAAAATTAGGATTAAATGCAAGTTAATATAGCTCTAAGAGCTCATCTTAAACCATTTGGTTATATTTGTGCCTACCTTTCTGCTACCAAAAATCTCTCTTGAGTCCCCATGTGAAGCACCAAAATATACATTTGAGAATACAAATTTGAGTAAGGAAGTTCTCTAAGACAGGGTGAAGGCAAACTGGTATCTGTATTTAATATGTAAGATTATGTAAAATGACAGAAGGGAATGTCCTTTTCTTTTTAGCCATGGAGAATCACTGGTAATAAGTTGTGTCTAAGAGACTTTGACCCTAAACTCTAGGAACTCCAAGGCCTGGCCTATAGCACTCTTCCCAGTGCCGATGGGCCTTGTCACCATCAGTTTTCTTAACAGAAGACTGTTTTCTATTCCAGGTTAAAACACCAAAATGATTCTGTGGGCCACAATCACATGTCAAAGTTATTTCAAATAGCAGTGCATTTGAAAATACTTTAATATCTATACAGTGTACGTTAAAGTAAGAAATTATAATTATGTATAATTGAATAAGATGTCAAGATTGTACAGAACACACAAATGCCCCTGCTCTTTACGGGCAGAGTAGAATCACAGAGTCTTAATGTTTACCGCTCTATCCATCCATCTATCATCCACCCGTCATCTATCTCTTCATTACCCATTCTTCATTGATTATCCATCCATCCACCCATCCATCCATCACAAGTTATCTATCCTTCTACTATCCATTTATCCATCAATTTTCTATCCATTCCTCCATTCATCCACATATCATCTATATATTTAACGAACAAATGCCCACAAATATACCATGTATTCAGTAGTCTCACCACATATTCAGTTCCTATCATGTGCCAAGAGCTTGACAGAGACCTATTCCTTTCAAGCAGTGACTCAGCATTCAGTTTTGCTTTCTTTTAGAAAGCACTTTTGCAAAATCTTTGGCATTCTATAGCTTCTGTTTACATAACCATAGCAGTGACAAATGCACCTTGAAATAGACCTTTTTTTTTTAACAACAAAAAGGCTTGGTTATAGATACTTCTCCCATTTTTCAGTTTGTAAACTGAGGCTCAGAATATTTGAATGACTCATCCAAGAACACTCAACAAGGCTGCTGCAGATCCATCCCTGAATCCAGCTTTTCCTGTGCTCAATTAAGAGCATTTTCCTTAATCTGAAGCTACAGAGAATACATTTTTCCTATTTTATTTGACTACCATTCAGATATTTGAAATGCCTCCTTATTATTTTCCTTTCCAATCCAAATATCCCCTCATGTGATTAGGTTTCCAGACCCTTTCCTATTTACCTCAACCTGGCATGTTTCTCATGGTCAATGCCCAGAAAGGAATCTAATACTGCAGATGTGGTTTGGCTATGCAGAATACACAGAATGGATTACCTCCCTCTTCTGTGCAGAAGTATTTGTTAATGCCACCTCTGTTTGCATCCTTTCTTTTTTGGTAGCCACACAGTGGTCTCATAATGAAAATAAACATACATTCTCCAAACACTGTGCTGTCCAGATCAAGTCTCATTTAACTTAAGCACAAACTTCACTTTTTTTTCTATCACATTTGATCCCATGAAATTTGACTCATATTTCCTCAGACTCTAACTCCAGTAAGACTATATCTAAATTATTTTAACTATGCTTAAATACTATACTTAAGAGTATATTTAAATTATTTACTGGGTATAGTTAACATGGAATGTTCTACCACTAAGACATTGTTTTCAGTGAGTACTGAATTCATTTTATGCTAAGCATATAGTTCCATTTGATTATTTTTCAAAATATTAGATTCAAAGGAAGCATTTGAAATGTATTTTTAAAGTGGTCTGTTGTTTTCAGATGAATTTGAAAAGAAAAAAAAAACAGTTTTAAATCTATGGCATAAAAAGTCGACAAGAGGAAGAGGAGCTGTGGCCCAAGTGCAGAGTGTTAGCCTTGAGCTGAAAAGCTCAAAGACAGCACGCAGGCTCTGAGTTCAAGCCCCACAACCACCATCAACAAAAAGCAGATAGGAAACAAGGAGACTTGGTTTATAAATATTTGTACCTTGAAGCAAATGAGTCTCCATGTCTGATTAATAAGAAGTATCCTGGGAGCAAATAGGTTGCTTGCCAATGAATCAAACCTTGCTTTCCAGTTTTCTTTTCGGAACAGTTACTTAGCCAAAGAAATAGAATTCAGTGAGAAGAGAGATGGAAAGAAACACAATTCAATGAACAAACTCCTCAATTATTTTAGTATTTCAAGAAGCAAGAAAGGAAATTTAAAAAAACCATAATACATTACACTTATCATTTGAATCCTCTTTCTGCTTCATTCACGTCTCCAACATTCCCTAGATGCCTTGTTAACTTTTTTCCTCTATCCATCTTGCAGCTGGTTTCCTCACCAATCCCCTTCTCCCAGTCCCAGCCCTTACTATAGCTTTATTTTGTGGGTGGATTTTAACCCTTCCCCAGTTTAAAAAAAAAAAAAAACAGATCCTCTTCCTTAAAGTTGTAAGTGTGGTGTGTTTGGGGTAAGGATTGGGCTAGTGGGCATTCACAGGATCTTTTTGGTGGGCTAGAGGAATAATGTGGTAAACACAGCTGTTATCCCCCCTCCATGAAATGTAATAACATTTTCCAATAAAATACATGCTTCTTGTCAGGGGAGCCAAGCCTCTGCTACAGGTATGAAGGAGATGGAATCTGTGAGCCCTTTGAGAAGGAAACCAGCATTGTAGACTGTGGCTTCCACACGCCTGAAGGGTATTTGGATCAGTGGGCCACCCAGGCTTACTCATCTCATGAAGACAAGAATACCCTGTTGCCCTGGTAACAGGAGAGCCTCATTCCATGGTAAGTCAAGCCAGGTGAATTGGGTCACGGTTGTAAACAAGATTGTAAAAGTTATTCCACTAGTTGCTGAATGGGAGCTTGCATCTTTCTCCAGATATTGGCATTCTTTCTTCTTTAATCTCACTGATCTCAGATCAAGATAATATTAGTGGAAAAGCTTGTGGATTGGCATTGAAATCCTATCACCCATACCTACCCCCACCCAATCTCTGTGGCTTTCATCTAGGAACCCTTGATCATTAGCTGACTCTAGGGTATATACACAGAATCCCCAAACTGGATTTACAAATACATGTATCAGAACTTACTCTTGACTCTGTTTTGGAGAATATAATGTGAAAGAATAAAAAGAAGTAGGAAGAACTCAGAAATCTTGAGGTACACCACTGAATTTGCTAGCATTACCGTTATGTCATCTTGGACAAGTCCCTAAACCTCCCTAATCCCCAGATTTCTCATATGTAAATGAATATGTGATTATCTTTTGTATTTAATGGAATGATAAATTATAAAGATCAAATGAGATGTAAAGTATGTGTTAAATATCAAAGGATAACTACCTTTAATAATTATTACTGTAGAACTCTTAGACTTAGTCATTAGATAGTTTCTCCTGAACATCTTCCTAAATAGATGGGAAATCCTCTGTAGACTCTACAATGTGACACTAATAATATTTATAAATTATTCTTGAATACTAAAACAAGATTAAAGGCTCTTGGGTACCTTTCAGATGCTTCTCATTGCCAAATACGCTCTTCCACACTTCCTAGCAGTAGGTAATTCAGTCCTTCATAGGTATGTTAGCTTGCCGGTTGATTCAAGGCAGGATGAAATCATTGTACTTTAGATCTAAGGAACCTCTCAGAAGAGTCTGAGGAACCACCAGGCTGTTGCTTTGGTTCAAGCATCTCCTCAACAACCCTCTGTCTTTTGGACTCCAGTTCTTCCACTCTTGGCTTGCAGTATTTTTTTTCTCCTCCTCCTAAATGGCTTCTGCTCTACTAGGCATGAAATCAGCCTTTCCAGGAGGAAGAATTTAGCAGGTCAGAGAGAAATTAGTATATGCCAGCTGAGCATTTCCTTTTTGTTTGGAAAATGCCATCTTTTCTGGAAGCTCAACACTACAGACTTCCACCCACATTATACTGGTCAGGTAAAGCTCACTTCTTCCCCTTTACTTGTAAGGGAACCCTGTGAAGATGAGGCAATTATGTCAGTAGTGACCTTAAAGGACATTGGAGTTCATTAACAAGAGAGTCAGGGGAATTAGATATGATGAGGTAACTTTCTGTCATACTCTCTCAGCCAAATTATAGCATCTTTCTCTGGAAGACAGGAAAGTTGGGCGATTTCAGTTAGTGACCCTTCTCTGAAGTAGTTTTTAGTCTAATCTATCTTCCCAAAGTAAAGTAAGCAAAGTTTTCCTGGAGTTCTGTTATTCTTCTTTGAAGAAGAAAACCATAACCCAGACCAATGCCCAATAGCTTCCTTAGCCAGCAGCTTCCAATTGGTAGCCAAAGTTGCATGATTAGAATTTATCCAGCATGTTAGAAAGAGTAGAATGACTGATCCTAGGAATAATTACCTGAAATATGCCAGGGCTGTTCTTTGGGCAAGATCTCTTGGTCAATAGTGGACTGAAAATTGTATGTTTGTTTGTTTTTTTAACTTCTCATATCATGTTATTAATGCTAAGAGAAAACATTGAAAAGTTATTCTACATTGAGAAGACTGAGACTTTTTTTGTTTGTTTCCTGATAAAAGGAGAGTTTGTCTTTACTTATCACTCATACTCTACACCTGATTTTTGGTTGACCTTACATTTCAGATTTGCACATCATACCATCCAGATTTACCCAAGCACCTGCCCCTAACTGGCTGGTTTCCCCATGTTACCAGTGGGAAAAGACCGCATGATAAAGAGACTGAGCAGATGGAGGCTAGCCTGGAAAAAGAATGATGAGATATGGCTTGAAGTAAGTGGCCTTGATTTTTGTAAATGGTGGAGGTGTGTGTATGTCACTGTGTGTGTGTGTGTGTGTGTGTATGTGTGCACATGCGCACGCATGCAAAGTTCTTCATTCAATGACTTGTCAGAGATCACATTTTGTTATTTTAAGGCTTTTCTTCTTATTATTATTATTTTTGTCAGTCGTGGGGCTTACATTCTGGGCCTGGGCACTGTCCCTCAGCTCTTCAGCTCAAGGCTAGCACTCCACCACTTAAGCCACAGTACTACTTCCAGTTTTCTGGTAGTTTATTGGAGAGAAGAGTCTCACAATCTTTCCTGCCTAGGCTGGCTTTGAACTGCGATCCTCAGATCTCAGCCTCCTGAGTAGCTAGGATTAAGGCATGAGCCACCAGCCCCACCCCCCCCGATATTTCAATGTTTAAAAAATGATGACAGTGGAGTTGTGATTCAGGGCCTCGTGCTTGCTGCCATACTTCCAGCCTTGAGTCTACATAGTTGAATATATTTGGTCTCAGATTTTTCCTCTGTGAGATTCTTTCTTACTCCTTCAAACTCATTGCTAATTATAGATCTTTTTAGGCTACTTATATCTTTGTGGCTTGATTTTGGTAGGTTAGATGTGTCTAGAAAATCATCCATTTCTTTTAGATTTTCAAATTTATAGGAATATAAGTTTTTGAAGTGTTTCCTAATGATTCTCTGCATTTCATTGCAAGTATTACAATATCCTTTTCACTTTAGTTGTATTAATTTGAGTCTTTTCTTTCATTTGTTAGTTTAGCTAAGAATTTGTCAATTTTATTTATATTTCCAAAGAACCAAAATTTTGCTTCACTGATCCTTTGTATATGAGACTCCAGTTAGTAATTTTTCCACCTTGATCTTTACTATTTCTTTCCATGTATTAATTTTGGGTTTCACTTGCTTTTATTTTTCTAACACTTTGAGAGGTCAATTTTACTTAACAGTAGTAAGTTTAAGATTTTTAAAAAGGACAAATTACATAAACACTCAACTTACCAAAGGCACTCAGTTTCCTTCTAAGCATGACATTAGCAATATCCCACATTTCCCATTTTATTTTTGTTGTTATTCAGTTCACACATACTTTCAAGATTTTATTGTGATTTCATTCTTGACTCTTAAATGAATTGTTAGTAGGCTGTTTAACTTACAGATATTTTTAGAGTTCGGAGCTTTTGTCTTTATTTACAGATATATGTTGGTCAAAAGTTTATTGTGTATTTCAATGCTTTGAAATTTGTTGAACCTTGAAAATACATGGGTATGGATGAGCATATGGTCAATGTGAGTAACAACAAGTTTACATGTACAAGTAATGTGTAATTTGCAATTGTTAGATGCTACACTGATCTTTATATTTGATAGGACAAGTTTGAATATCATTTTTTATTTCCTATATCATAGATGATATATAAAATATAGATACTTTATGTATATATTTTCCCTAATTCTTTTTGCATCGCTTTACAAAGATATTCTCCCATCATAAACTTGGATTTGTTTATTTTTCTTTTGCTTCTGTTGCTTTTGGATTCATAAATTTCAGTGCATATTAATACTTATGTAGGCGGTCCTCTACATGGGAGAGTAGGACCACAAAATGACTATGAAGGTGAAACCATGCAAAGAAAATGTTTACAATGGGAAACATTACAATGTTTCATGACTTCTAACTTTTTTTTGCCAAATGCTCTTATTTTTAGTTAAACATATGTAGGCAAATGAAGCAAACAGTAATTCTTATAGCTCCTTGCCTCACTAATTGAAAACATAAAGAAAATGCAAAATTAAAGTATTTCATTCCTTTGTACATAGAAAAGATGCCAAGAATAGTTTGGTCATTGCTTGCCTTTTTCTCTTTCTGATTTATGTTACAAACCAGGCAAGTTTTTTATGTCTCTAGGAATTGTCTTATTCCTCACTGAGCTTATTATCAGCTTCTAACACTTTATCCCTCATTCTCCCTTTGTTGTGAAATGTCCCTGAGGATTGAGTGACAGGAAGTTTTTACTTGGTATCACTTCCTCTAAGGCATCTTCATCCTTTTTGTCAAGACTCCTTTTCTCGTTAAAGATGACCAAGGAACCTCCCTCCATTGAGGTTCTCTGGCTTTGGTGGCACTGATGTCTCCATTCTCTGTTAACTATTCTGCAACTCTGTTTACTATTAACTAAATTTAACTTCAGGAATGATCATTTATCCTTTCTTTGCCTCATTTTCAGCCTTGCTCAGTTACCTCCTTTGACATCCTTTTTTTTTTGTGGATTGTCATGTAGATTTATCACTAGAGAAACAGAAATGACATGGCTACATACTTTACTGTGTCTGTGTGGCTCAAATTAGCTGATAACTAGTGTCCTGCCAATAGCAGACACTGAAACAAGTGGTAAACTTGATCATAGTCATGATTAACACCTGGTATTTTTTTTTTAATTGAAAGGATAGCAGTTGCAATGAGTACCTTACCGACTGAAACTTGAATCCTCTTGTTGAGAGACATATTTAATAAAGTAGATTGCTATTTTTGGTTGTTGTTGTTTTTTATTTTTTGGTCGGTTGTGGGGCCTGAACTCTGGGCCTGGACACTGTCCCTCAGCTTGTCAGCTGAAGACTAGCACTCTACCACTTGAGCCTCAGCCCCACTTCCGGCTTTTTCTGCTTATAAGGTGCTGAGGAATCGAACCAAGGGCCTCATGCATGCAAGGCAAGCACTCTACCACTGAGCCACCTTCCCAACCCTTAGATTGCTATTTTTTTTTGTGGAAACAAGAACTGTATAAATTGGAAACTATGAGTATATAATTTAAGAGTTCGTCTGTCTGTAATTTGTCTCTTTAAATGAAGAAATACCTTATTTTCTCTCTAGTAATACCAAATTAATTTTCTCTATACTTATTTTGTTTGAAATGTTCTATCTTGTAATCAGTTTAAAATATATTAATCTTACTAATTTTAAAGTTCGTGGCACTAATGTCTTAGTGATCTAAGCTTTTTTTTAGTTTTTATTTTCTTTTAGTTGTTATTCATTTGGTTCATAAAGAAATGATGTGTTCATTGAATATCAGACAATGAATACACTGAACAGGTTCCAGTTAATACTATTTTTTTCAATATGATCATCTGATGCATATTAAGATGTGGGGAAGGTCACTTTAATCCAATAAGTAATCAAGAAACTCAAGCTGTGCTCTTGTTCTGTGTGGTCCTTGATAGATTTCTTCCAAGGCCTTGCTCTTCTGAGGTTTGCATGAACAGCATGAATTGGACCCTCCACTTTGGGATCTCTGAGATGCAATTTCTATTTTCTCAACTGAATGTGTCTGCCAATGGTTGTTGGCTTCTCTCTAGCCAATTTTTGCTAGACTTTCTATACTTTTAGTCTGCATAGTTGAGGAGGTGTATCTCAGAGGCACAGAATGCTAAATTCCATTCATGTTGTTTCTTTCCTTTTGAGATATTGTGCTCTTAGATCCTGAGTCTTGATTGTTCTCAAATGCTTCCAAGTATTATTACTTTTTTATGTAATTCACATTTTACATTTATATTTGTCAGCGGTGCTTGTTCTACTACAAGATAACTCTATCATAACTGGAAGCAGACATTTTCAACTGGAATAATATATCAATTTACTACTTTATATATTTATGGTAATAATGTGTTCTTATGAATAATCCTAGGAAAACAAACTCAACAATATCTTTGAAAGTTACATTAGTATGTAAAAATCTATTAATAAAACATAGATTTCAAAACCCGCACATTGTACCAAATAAATTTGAAAGTAATTTTGAAAAATAACCTAGTTAGAATTTTTTTGTTTTTGTTTTGTTGGTTGTGGGGCCTGAACTTTGGGCCTGGGTGCTGTCCCTCAGCTCTTCAGCTCAAGGTTAGCCCTCTACCACTTGAGCCACAGCGCCACTTCAGCTTTTTCTGCTTATGTGGAGCTAAAGAATCGAACCCAGGGCCTCATGATGCAAGGCAAGCACTCTACCACTGAACCACCTTCCCAGCCCTGTAGTTAGAATTTCTTTCCCTTTGAAAAAAGTTTTTTGAGGTTTAGGATTTCTGACACTTCATTCTTCCTTTCACTGTAATTTAACCTTAATTTGATACACTAATATGACTTGTATGCTGTGGATCAGAGTGAAATTGATTGCACATGAGAGAAATAACAGTACTGGAAAACATTCACCTTGCAAATATCTTTCCAAGTTCTTTCATTTAATAAAATATTACTTACCCTGCCCCTCAAGACTTCTAGCATTTTATTTCACTATTTACTGGGGTATGATATTCCCTTAGTTTTTCTTATTTTTTTCTTGAGTTGAATAGACTGTAAGAATCTTCTTAAATAATATAAAGTGTAAATTCTTTTTGTTAACTGAAATATTAAACACATTTTACAGGCATTTATGGCTTACAAAATGCATTTTCTTGCCTGGTTTTTAATCCCTACAATTCCCAAACATTTCACAAGTTAGGTGTTCTTCTGTTTTATAGATGAAGAAAGTAATATACATAGGTGTGTGTATATATGATTCACAGTGCCTTTTCTTTCTTTTTTTTTTTTTTTTTTGGGTCCTGTCTTGGGGCTTGAACTCTGGGCCTGGGCGCTGTCCCTCAGCTCTTCAGCTCAAGGCTAGCACCCTACCACTCAAGCCACAGCGCCACTTCCGGCTTTTTTCTTTTTGCTTATGTGGTGCTGAGGAATCGAACCCAGGGCCTCCGGCTTGCAAGGCAAGCGCTCTACCACTGAGCCACCTTCCCAGCCCTCACAGTGCCTTTTCTATCTCCAAAGAATAAGATGGTGAACCTGAAGTTCAGGTTTTGCCCTCTTGATTCTAATCCCATTTACATTCTCTACTGTCTGTTGTTCCACCAATCAAAGTTCATCAAGTACTTCCAATATGCCAAGTCCAGAATGAAGGACTGGAGATGGGCAAAAGATAAGCAAGAACACAAATTAAAACCTCTGGGAAA